ATTCCAGCATGACAATGACCCAAAACACATGGCCAAGGCAACAAAAGAGTGGCTCAAGAAGAAGCACATTAAGGTCCTGGAGTGGCCTAGCCAGTCTCCAGACCTTAATCCCATAGAAAATCTGTGGAGGGAGCTGAAGGTTTGAGTTGCCAAACGTCAGCCTCGAAACCTTAATGACTTGGAGAAGATCTGCAAAGAGGAGTGGAACAAAATCCCTCCTGAGATGTGTGCAAACCTGGTGGCCAACTACAAGAAACGTCTGACCTCTGTGATTGCCAACAAGGGTTTTGCCACCAAGTACTAAGTCATGTTTTGCAGAGGGGTCAAATACTTATTTCCCTCATTAAAATGCAAATCAATTCATAACATTTTTGACATGAGTTTTTCTGGATTTTGTTGTTGTTATTATCTCTCTCACTGTTCAAATAAACCTACCATTAAAATTATAGACTGATCATGTCTTTTTCAGTGGGCAAACGTACAAAATCAGCAGGGGATCAAATACTTTTTTCCCTCACTGTATGCCCCCACAAGACATGCCACCAGAGGTCTCTTCACAGTCCCCAAGTCCAGAACAGACTAGGGTGGCACACAGTACTACATAGAGCCATGACTACATGGAACTCTATTCCTTCATCAAGTAAATCATGCAAGGAGTAAAATCAGATTAAAAAACAGATACAAATACACCTTATAGAACAGCGGGGACTGTTTAGAGACACACACAAACACGAATACACACACACGATAACATACGCATTATACACATGTACAAATGGATTTTGTGTTGTAGATATGTGGTAGTATAGTAGTGGCCTGAGGGCACACACTTAATGTGTTGTGAAATCTGTTGTGAAATGTATTGTAATTGTGTGTGTGTGTGTGTGTGTATATAACTGCCTTATTTTTCTGGACCCCAGGAAGAGTAGCTTCTGCCTTGGCAGGAACTAATGGGGGTCCATAATAAACCCCAGGAAGAGTATCTGCTGCCTTGGCAGGAACTAATGGGGGTCCGTAATAAACCCCAGGAAGAATAGCTGCTGCCTTGGCAGGAACTAATGGGGATCCAGAATACATACAAATACAGTGCAGCAGGTTTTACATGATTCTCACTGACATGTGTCATGTTTGATGTCCTCCACTGCTTCTGTCTGTCTGTCTGTCTGTCTCTTTAATCTTATGTGACCTCGGCGGTTCTCATCTCCACTTAATTTCAATTGCTGATGACTGGTTACCACTATGGTTTAATCGTCCGCTTGCTAACACCCACATCATTTATAACTAAGAACAAGGTAGCGTCTCTATGAGAAATCAATGTGTTGTGAATGTATGTATTACCACAGTTAGACTTTTTTTTTGTAGGGTGAGAATGAAAACCCTCCCAGTGAGGATGGATCTATTATTTATCCAGATACGTCTCTTTCTCTCTTACTGAGATCTGCCTGCCTGCCTGCATGAGAGCCTGCCTGCCTGAGATCCTGCCTGCCTGAGACCCTGCCTGCCTGCCTGAGATCCTGCCTGCCTGAGACCCTACCTGAGTGCCTGCCTGCCTGAGACCCTGCCTGCCTGCCTGAGACCCTGCCTGCCTGCCTGAGACCCTGCCTGCCTGCCTGAGACCCTGCCTGCCTGCCTGAGAGCCTGCCTGCCTGAGTCCCTGCCTGCCTGCCTGAGTCCCTGCCTGCCTGCCTGAGAACCTGCCTGCCTGAGAGCCTGCCTGCCTGAGACCCTGCCTGCCTGCCTGAGTCCCTGCCTGCCTGCCTGAGAACCTCAAGACGCATGAAAGAATCACACCTGCGTTATATACTCTTCTTTCTTTCCAAAACATGTCTGGGAGGTCACTGGTGTCTATGTCATGGAGAACACACATGCTTGCACGCTAGGCAGTAGAGGCAACAGTCACCCTGACACAGAGTCAATTCACACACAGCCTAGGGTTGTATTATTTAAGCCTAGCTCTTTTGCCCATGGTAAACAGATATCACCAAATGGTTTTGTCTGATATGATCCTACCACATTCTGTGAGAGGCTTCTTTTCAGCTCACCAAAACATTTACAATACTGTATTTTTTTAAATGAACTCTTATAACAATATCTCCATGAGATCTTATCACTATATGACTCATGTCCTGATAGTGTGTTGTCTCTTTGAAAACTGGTAGATGTTATTTCTGTATGTTCGGTTATTTCACATCTATCTGTGGCTCCTTGGAGAGTAACCAGGCAGAGGAAGGAGCAGGACAAGACCCTGCACTTGCCTAATACATCCACCCTCTCCCCCAAGAAGACAGTTGTCACTTTCCATTAACCTCTCATTTCGATCCCCCCTCATCCCTATCCAACCCTGGGTTTGCTTCTTCCTGCCAAGACCTGATCTCCACTGATGGCTCTGTGCAACGACTGTTCTTTTTTGGAGTGTTTGTCTGTTTATGTTTCCATCTCCAATCTCCCACCTCTCTCTCTCGTTCCCTTGTATCTCTCTCCTCCCCCATTCCCCTATATCATTCTCTTTCTCCCCCCACTGCTCCCCACACCTTCTCTGTGTCACTATATTAAAAAAAAAGGGATGTGAAATATCTCACTGGATAAAATAGCTACTGTATCTGCTTTGGCCCTACTGTAGGAAATTGACTTATTTCTGTGGCATTGATTTTCTCTCAGCTTTATGGGAAAGTCGTGTTGTGGAAGCGAACCAGAGACCGGCTGGTTGATAGGCCCACAAAGTGGAAGCAGCCAGGGGATGTTGCTCACTATACAAGATGCGATGCTGCCTGTACTCACTGATCACAAGATAGAGTTCATTGTTTGTGTACGTATGGGAAGTTGAATTGTCACCAGTGGTGGTTTCATTCAATTGGTATTAGGCAATGAAAGTCAAATATTTTGTCAAAATGTCATATTCGCTTCAGATCTTGATAGTGAGAGGATGTCTTCTGAAATAGGACATTGTTTTCTGGTACTACTGCACTGTACTAGGTTGACTTACCCTAATGAAGATCTACTTTAAAATCCTTCCCTAATTTCCCTCTCTGTCAGATAATGTGCTTTTAATAATCCAGCTATAAGTGTCATATTCTGATCCAACTACAGGCTTCATAACTGAAAAGAAATCTTTAATCATTACTTCGATTCGAGCACTAATAGGCCTAATATGACTAATACTGTGTGGAGAAAATATTCCTTGATAAATCTTCTCTTCTGGGTATTGAATGAGTGCAAAACCGGCACTTTGCTGTGGTTACAGAAAGGTAACTTAATAAATCAATATGATTCTGCGTGTGAGCATCAGGAGGTCAGACAGATTTATTGATGCTCTGTGTTTTCAAAGCTTATCTATGATTAAACTGAAATGTGAGGCATTGATTCTACTTGTTGTTTGGCACAGCAGACCTTTCACATGTTGCTTTAAAGCAGCAGCTGTGTCTTTACAAGGCACTTTACTTGTCAACGCAGCTGGAGCTTGGGGTTGTAGTTTACCTTGTGGCCAGGAGGTGTCAACATTGTGTTTCACCGTGAACTATACAGATGCAGGATCTTAATGTGAGCCAGTTTGCTACAGGAAAGGGAAACCTAGTCAGTTGCACAACTGAATGCATTCAACCGAAGTGTGTCTTCCGCATTTAACCCAACCCCTCTGAATCAGAGAGGTGCGGGGGGCTGCCTTAATGGATATCATCGGCGCCCGGGGAGCAGTTGTTATTGGGGGTTAACTGCCTTGCTCAAGGGCAGAACGGCAGATCTTTTCCCACCTTGCCGGCTCCGGGTTTCAAACTGGCCCAACGCCCTTAACCGCTAGGCTACCTGCCGCAGCAGGAAAATAATCCTACAGCAACAGGAAATGTGCATTATTATGTGGATTATACTTAATGGACATTTCTTTAGGTGTTGAAAATCAAGTCTGACATTTCAAAGTGGAAATTGTAAACTTCAGAAGCCTTTTTAAACCTCAAATACACTACAAGTTTGACATTTCCTGCAAAAAGTTATCCTGCAACAGTGTGATCAAATTAAGATCATCATCTGTATCTTCCACAGGTGTTTTTCAATAGCTTTTGGAGGAGTTTCAAAACTATTACGTGTGTGTGTGTGTTTGTGTGTGCGTGCTTGTGCGTGCATGCGTATTTGTGTGACCCTTTTTGCACAACTCTTTTGACTCATCACATATGCTGCTGCTACTGTTTATTATCTATCCTGTTGCCTAGTCACTTTATCCCTAGCTATGTACATATCTACCTCAATTACCTCGTACCACTGCACATAGACTTGGTACTGGTACCCAGTGTATATAACCAAGTTATCGTTACTCATTGTGTATTTATTCCTCCTGCTATTATTTTTCTATTTTTCTCTCTGCATTGTTGGCAAGGGCCAGTAAGCAAGCATTTCACTGTTAGTGTACACCTGTTGTTTACGAGGCATGTGACAAATAACATTTGATTTGATTTTGTGTGTGTGTACGTGCAAGCCAGTGGCCCAGTTCTGCCCAGCCGACCCAGGAGGCGCCTGTAGGGGTAAAAGAATGTGGTAAGTTCCTGTGAAGGGGAAGCCTATGTACCTCCGACTAGACACACGCACACACACACACACACACACACACACACACACACACACACACAGCCCAGACAGACACACACAGCGCAGACAGACACAACCTAGACAGAACCAGAGACAGAGCAGTGTGAGGGACACTGTGACACCCACCAAACTATCTCACAGACAGCGACATTATCCACTACCCTCACCTACTCGCACCACATAAAGGACGTCTTATGCAACGTGGAGAGGGATAGGGAACAACATAGAGGTAGGGGCAAGAAAGATCAATCCTTCTTCGGGTAAACGTACACTCACTATGCTCCCCATGCAACTCAGTGGCCTCAACAGGTAGCCTCCTGCATTCACCACCCCCACTGTTTGTGCAGACAGAGAGCAGGGAGGGCTCCGCAAGGCTGGTCTGAATCGGAGTAGCAGATCCCAGACAGAGCCTAACCTCCAGACTGACGATGGTTATGAGAGGGGCTGTCGAGTCGGGCTTCCCCCTGCTCGGAGTGGCCATACTAGGCTGTTTCTGCTGCATGCGAGGGGGTCAGACCCAGGATGACTCGGGCTCTGAGGGGATCCCAGGCACCATGCCTCCCCACCTCATCTTCATCTTGGCGGATGACCAGGGCTATGGGGACGTGGGCTACCATGGCTCGGACATTCACACTCCGGTCCTGGACCAGCTGGCTGGGGAAGGGGTGAAGCTGGAGAACTACTATGTCCAGCCGATCTGCTCACCCTCACGCAGCCAGCTCATGACGGGACGGTGAGTAATGTACTTACTGTACTGTACTGGCTTATTAGGCCTATCTAGTATTATCCGGAATGATCTAATTCCTCTCACACTTCTGTGCATTCCTATAACCTTGCTTCTAAATAGAGGAGTGATCTGTCAACACATTGCATTTTGTTGTGAATAGACATGTACTGTATACGTTTAGAACAAATGTGTGAAGGTTGTGACGTTGATCCCTGACAATAAATGGGAGGGATGTCTCACTGGTTCTGAAATATTTTCCTTCGTGGTTTGGGAAATTACATAATCTTGGCTTCGCTCTGACCTCCCCTCCCCTCCCCTCCACTCCCCCTTTCTTCCAGGTACCAGATTCACACGGGCCTCCAGCATTCCATCATCCGGGCACGCCAGCCCCTGTGCCTGCCCCCGGACGCGCCCACCCTGGCTGAGCGGCTGCAGGAAGCAGGCTACAGCACCCACATGGTAGGGAAGTGGCACCTGGGCTTCTGCCGGCCGGGCTGTCTGCCTACGGGTCGCGGCTTCCAGAGCTTCCTGGGCTCCCTGACTGGCAGCGGTGACCACTTCTCCTACCAGAGCTGTGACCAGGCTGAGGCCTGCGGCTTCGACCTGCACGACGGGGAGAGACCAGCCTGGGAGATGAGCGGTAACTACTCCACAACGCTCTACATAGAGAGGTGAGGCTAGCTCTTACACACATCTTTGATGATGTTGTATTCAATATTTATGAGAAGGAGCTTATCTAGTAGTAAACACTACTGTCCGTGTAGCTCAGTTGGTAGAGCATGGCGCTTGCAACGGCAGGGTTGTGGGTTCGTTTCCCATGGGGGGCCAGTATGAAAACAAATATATAAAAAAATAAGATAAGAGCGTCTGCTAAATGACTGAAATGTAAATGTTATGTTTTTAGAGTGATTAGCATTTGGCTATTTCCGAGATTTGGACACCACAGAATCTATGTATTGTATATAATGTCTCAGTTATATAAAGATGTAACCCAGATCTGGTGGCCTCCTCTTTTTGTCCAGGGTTAAGAAGATCCTGAGGGCCCATGATCCCCGGAAGCCCCTCTTCCTGTACCTGGCCCTCCAGGCCGTCCACACACCCCTCCAGGCACCAAACCACTTTCTGCGACGCTACAGTGCCCTGGACAACCGCCCGCGACGACACTATGCAGCCATGGTGAGCTGTGTTGACGAGGGTGTGGGGGTGCTTGTGCAGGAGCTGAGGACCAGGGGTCTCTACCAGAACTCTGTCCTGGTCTACTCCTCAGACAACGGGGGCCAGCCCCTCTCTGGGGGCTGCAACTGGCCCCTGCGTGGGGGGAAGGGCACGTACTGGGAGGGGGGAGTACGGGCAGTGGGTTTCGTCCACAGCCCACTCCTGAAGAGGAAAGGGAAGGTGAGCAAGGCGCTGATCCATGTTTCTGATTGGTACCCAACCCTGCTGTCTCTGGCGGGGGCACCGGAGAAGGACCGAGGCCAGCTGGACGGCCACAATGTGTGGGGGGCCATCAGCCAGGGGCTGCCTTGCCCCCGCACTGAGATCCTGTTCAACATCGACCCGGTATCCCGACGGCCCAGTGAGGCAGACTCCAGGACCCTGGCCCTTAACGGCTTCGGCATCTGGGACACGGCAGTGCGGGCGGCCATCCGGGCCGGGGACTGGAAGTTGCTGACGGGAAATGTGGGTGATGGGGACTGGGTGCCCCCTCAGACCCTGCCCGGGGGGCCCCAGCAGTGGCAGGGCATGGAGAAACGTCGAGACCAGAGGGGGAAGTCTGTGTGGCTCTTCAACATCACCGCTGACCCTTATGAGAGGTCAGACCTAGCCGATGCAAGGCCTGAGGTGGTCAAAATACTGCTGGCCAGGCTGGCCGAGTACAACCAGACGGCCGTGCCGCCCCGAAACCCACCAGATGACCACATGGCGGACCCCCAGCTCCATGGGGGGGTGTGGACACCATGGCTGGGTGAGCCGGGCAGCGAGGAGCCAGGGGGCAGCGGGGAGGGAGGGAAAGGGAAGAGTAGTAAGATGAGGCACTGTAAGGTGTGCAAACTGAAAGCCCTCTTTAAGAAGGTGGGCTCCCGGATGCAGAGATCCTCTCTGTTCTTTTAGTCCACAGAGGGAGGTAAGGAGCACATGGACGGACAAGCAGGACTGACAGGCCTACATGAGACTGGATCTTAGTCACTGGCTGTCCCCTGGCAACCAAGGAGGGTGACTTTGTGCAACTGTGAGATTAATGTTGAGAGTGATGTTTTGATGTCTCATCCACCCATGAACAGAAGGACATGATCAGAATTACACTCGGACACCCAGAGGGATATTTCTTTCATTTGTTGTTTTGTTATTTGTAAGTGGTGATAGAATGGACCGTCCAGGCTACACACTGCCTATCAAGTACTTCTCTGTTCCCAAACCAACTCTAAACAACACCTCACTGTGTCAAAATCCTAAAGTGGGGACTGGCCAGCATAAGCTCAGCCAGAGATGCTGTGGCTGTTGTTCTCTTCAGTGCTGTTACAGTACAGTACACCTAGAACGTAAGCCATGTTCCAGGCATATGTGGCTAATACTGTAAGTAAATGTGATATGCCAGCTGGCAAATCCCAGACTGTGAAATAATGCAGATATAACTGGATCAGACTGGATCAGGGTGACACTTCGGTTTGGACGTGCCGCAATACAGAAGCCAGATCAGATCAGATGTGAAGCTTGCATCTCTTGACTGTAAGCCATTTGTGTAGGAACTAATGTCTGTGATTATGCATGTACTGTATATAATGTAGGCTATGTTCAGCAATCCTGCAGCAATCTCACGCACAGGACTGAGAAACACTCTTCACTTCTAATTTCCATCAGTCTGACCGAGTGTGCATCAAGCTGCCTACTATCTCCCTGCCTCTTCCTCTCCAGCCAAGTCTCACCCTTCTCTCTTGTCCTCTCTCCCTCTCCCTCTCTTTCTCTCATTTCATCTCATTTTCTCTTGCTCTTTGCCTCTCCCACAGCAGTAGGAAACTTGTCTTCATCCTCCTCCTCTCTCTTCGTCATCTTCTTCTCGTCTTCTTCCTCCTCAATCTTTCTCATTTCATTCAGAGATCAGGTCAGTTCATAAGAGATAGGGAGGATGAATATGTTTGTGAGAAATTAGAACTGCTGTGCAGAGTTACATAAACAGTAAGGAGGAGGAGGTGAGAAGGAGGAGGAGGAAGTCTCCCTAGGGGGCAGCAAGGCCATTTGAAGCACTCCCTGTTTTATCTGTAATCTCCTCATTTGTAAAGATGAACATGTCATAACATACCAGTAAGTGTCTATGTATAATTTGATGCTAAGCAAAATGTGTTCTGCCGTTTGTTGCTTTCCATTTATAAATACACTTTGACAGAATGTGTGGGCGATTTGTCACTTGTGTTGAGCTTCTGTGTGTATATGTGTGTGTGTGTGTGTGTGTGTGTGTGTGTGTGTGTGTGTGTGTGTGTGCGCGCACATTCCATGTAGATACATGCATAGTACTATCCTCGCAGCCAAAATACTGAAACTGGAATCTGGGAATGAGATGAGACAATTAGAGGGCCCATCAGTCTGTGTCAAAAGGCATATAGCGAGCTACTTCCTGTGAAGTGACACAGTGGGTCCTGCAGGAATGTGGAACCGACAGAACCTATAAATCGCTGAGGTGTCCAGAAGGCCAACTGGGAGGGAGTGACTTGTAATGAGCTCACAGCGATCCATCATACAACAACAATCAGCAGTCTGATATGTTCAGAGTTGGGCTCTCTGCCTTCAAAGACCTCTAGCGTGTTGAGTCGAAAGGAAAGAAAGGCTTGTTGCCCTGGAGTGAAGTCATATGTAGTACACATGAAGATAGTGTGGATAGTGGATACATACTGTAGTATAAACACACTGAAACACAGTTAAATAGTCACTCATTAAAACTGTGTGATGACAATGAATGGGCAGGAACACATTGACAATGTCGGTTGGTAAAGGGTCACCTATTAACCCTTTGAATTACTCTAATGTCCTTTTAAATGGGTCATTAGTAGAATCCTATGGTGTTGTAATCGACAGAGACAGCCTGTGGGCGTACAGTAGTGATATCCGATAGCTGCGAGAAAAAAGTCAGGAACAGCTTTATGCAGATACTGTACCTACATGTCTTCTGTTTGGGTTTCACCATGTGATTGTCGATAATATCTAATTCATCCTTTCTCTGTGAAGAAAGACAGACTGACAGATACAGTATAGGATACTTCCTGTGTTGTTTTTCATTTGGGTGTTTCACCATATGATTGGTGAAAACAATGTCATGCTCATACTTCCTCTGTGCAGATAGACAGAGCAATAACAAACAGCGATTTGGAAAGAAGTGCAGAATTGAGGACAGTCCTTTTTCCTTTCCTGTGAAAGAGAGAGTCAATAGGGCTGGCTGGGTGAGGGAGGTGACCCTCTCAGCTCTTGAATCCTTGCCCATCCTCTACTTATCAGCTGTGCTCTACACACCATGTCAAACTTCACTCCTTCCCTGGAGCATGACCTAGGAAGAGAGGCCTTTGAAAGATATTTCCATCCACCAGCCAAATTGGCATAAATCTTGTTGAGTGAGTCACTCAACCTCAATGGTTCCACTACTACATCTCTCTCCACTGCTGTGGAGTGGAGTTGTTTGCTGTGGAACGTGGAAGCTCTTCAGCCAGCCGTGGCTGGAGGTGTCTGCTACGCATATAAATAATGCACTGTAATACGATGACGACAGAACAACAAAAACAGGAAGAGAGGGGAGGGCTCTATTGTCTCAGTTTATGAGAGGCTTTTTCCTCACTCAGCTCAAATTTGGCTCTGCTGCCCAGTTGGGGTTTGTATGGGTGTGTGTGCAATGTACATGTGGTGTGGATGAAGGACCCGTGACCAATTTAAGAAGAACAATCAAGGCTTATACGTATGGAGAACTAGTCTGAAACTCGGGACCTTTTGATATGCCTTCACCTAAGGTACTGTATAGCAGTTATAACACTTACCGCTTCACAACAGCTTTAAATCTAAGAGACAACCACCCTTGCAGCAATACACCAGCACTGGAATATATCATAAGCAAACATAATATTGGCAATTGGCAATGAAATTGGATACATTCAGGAGAGGTCAAAGGGCACTGACTTGGAAACGGACACTGTTTCCATATTAGGCCCATGCATTCCCTTACCCATCACCCCATGATACATACAGCTTTTCTTTGGAATAGGGGAAAGTGGCTAACAGTGCAACTCCCCCTCCTCCATCTCTCCTCTTCCCTCTCACCTCCCAGGATCTGACATCCCAATGTTACCACCCACCACTCAACCCTGCACACCGCCTGCTGATGTCTCGTCCGACAGGAACATCACAGAAAATGCTGCAATTAATATCGAGGCACCTCTGCACCGCTCTAATTAGGCTTTCATATCAGTCTGCTTCCCTGTAATTACAGCAGAAGCCAGAGCACAGCTCCTGTGTTCACCGCAAACACTCTGTAATCACTGGCACTCCCCCTCCACAATGCTGCCTGCCTTTAAAAGGCATGCCCAGTTCAGAGACAAAGTATTGCGTCTGTGAGAGAAATGCACTCACAAACAGGCACACATTAACACTATCTCTCTCAACAACAAAAAACATACACAAACACTCCTTGTTTAACACACACTCACAAATAAAGATATGTCATTTCTCTGAACAGACATAGATGAACAGAAGCACAGCAGATGCACACGTGTGCACACAGACATACTGTGAACACGTCCTATCAATACTCCTCATAATAAAATCATTAAAGCTCAGATAAACCTTTACAGTGGAGCATGCAATTACATAACATGCATAATTCAGTCTTTTAAAAATGATGCTCCATCAACCTACAGTTAAATACTACGTTAAGACAAACAAGAGACAACAAGTAATTTGTTCAATTGGCTCAACCTATAACCCCAGAGGGACAAGACACAGATTTGTCTTTCACAGCAGCATCTTTCGTGGTTTATGGCGGGTTATGATGGAGACAGTAGTACAGATAATGAATGCTACAGTAGGCATCTCTTCCAGACTCCTGGAGAGATGGGAGTCACATATCCCTCGGGTGAATTAGGAAGCTGGCGGAGGCCGGTGGCAGCTGGACACAGGGAGGGCATGGGGATGATGAAGACCACAGGGAGGGCATGGTGATGATGAAGACCACAGGGAGGGCATGGGGATGATGAAGACCACAGGGAGGGCATGGGGATGATGAAGAACACAGGGAGGGCATGGGGATGATGAAGACACAGGGAGGGCATGGGGATGATGAAGACCATGCTCTCAGCTCTTGAATCATTGCTGATCCTCTACTTATCAGCTGTGCTCTACACACTTATGTTACAAAATGGGTTCATGTCAGGAGAAGGTAGAGGAGCTCCATCCCACAGCCTACAGTATAGGCAGGGCCAACAGAGGAAGATGCTGAAAGGCCATCAGTAGGAACATGGTGCAGGACAGGAGGAAATGTGTGGTTGGGTGTGAAGGTGACATGCAAAAGCAGCGTTGCAATCTGAAAGGAAGGCAGAGCCTCAAAGTGGACTGGGAATCAGATGTTCTGAGAGACATGGCAGGCATTAATTTGCTCGAATCGAATCAAACTGTATTTGTCACATGCTTCGTAAACAACAAGTGTAGACTAACAGTGAAATGCTTCCTTACGGGCCCTTCCAACATCGCAGAGAGAAAAACAATCGGCATAGTAGAAAAAATAGAAAAATAATAACACGTGTAATAAATACACAATGAGTAACGATAACTTGGCTATATACATGGGCTACCAGTACCAAGTCCATGTCCAGTGGTACGAGGTAGTTGAGGTAGATATGTACATATAGGTAGGGACAAAGTCACTAGGCAACGGGATAGATAATAAACAGTAACAGCAGCGTATGTGATGAGTCAAAAGAGATTAATGCAAAAAGGGTCAATGCAGATATTCCTGGTAGCTATTCCATGATAGTTTGCAAGCCCTGTCACATTCGACGAGCGTCAGAGCTGGTGTAGTTGAATTCAATCTTGGTCCTTTATTGACACTGCCTGTTTGATAGTTCGTTGAAAGGCGTAGCGGG